GATTATGGTTTGGGGATGACCAGAAACCTTATACTGAGTCAGCAAATATTTCTGACTAGATTGTCATAGAGTTCATCACTGAAATGACTTACAAGGCAATATCAATTCAAAGACAAAGTCACATAAAAGTTGAAGAAATTGTTTTCTTGATTCAGAAGGACCCAAGGGAGTTTATTAAGGTTAAAGACTTGCTTTCTATGAACACAGAATTGAGATGAACTAGAAAAGCCAAAGAAGCAAACTATGGATCTTGACACTTTTTGTACTTTCTGAAATTTTGTTATCTTCTGGAAAAACTATATATTAATAGTAACTGTATATTTTCTAAAGTAAGGTCCTGATCTCTAGCCATATAAATAAAAGATGGAGAAACACAAAGTTTTCAGCCTTTATTTTCATACCTTCAATTTTAAAGTGATCTTTGAGCCTTTAATTGCCTGCCTTTATGTGACTATATTTGAATTACTTATTGAGTTTCAATGATTACACAAAAGTTAAAGTACCTTGGAAACCATGCAGCATCTTCTGACTTTTGACTGTCTAAAGGATGACATAGTATTCATGTGTTAGGTATATTTGTGCCACTGTAAGCTATACTGTAGCTATTCAACATTTGAAATCTAAATGGCATCTTTGGCTCTATGATAGCTGGACCTTGTACTTCATGTATTCTGAAATTTTTAGACAACAGCTGTCTGAAAGGTTATTAAAGGTGGTGAACTGGTTTGTATTTCTTCTAAGGAGATGATATAGGAAGAATGTCTTAAAAGATAATTTGTTTTAATATTCTTTTCTTCAGATAACAAGAGTCATTTTTTTTTTGGAGAAACAAAAAGTTTCATGTGAATGTTTCCATGTCAGAAGGCTTTTATGATTTAAAACCTTTTCAGTTTATAACATACTATTTTTTAAGTTTTAGGAGAACTCATTTTGTCCAATCAGATTAAAGCTTCTAAAAATAAATGCTTTCAGTAGCAGGAATGGCATTCCTTAAAAAGCTGATAGCAGGATAAACATTTGTGGCAAGTACTGGTAAGTACTTGTTCATTGTGGAAACGTGTACTTGAGTAAAACAATATGTGGCTATGGAAACCACTTTTGTAATTCAAGATATACAGGTTTTGTTTGTATTCAGCTTATTGTATTAACTTAATATTGCCCTTAGCTCAAAATAAGGATAGATTTGCATTAAATAGATCACTGAATGTTACTTTGTGAAACTGAACCTTTTGTGTGCTGTTTATAACCATTATCTATAAATAAGTACTTGAGAAAATATTACTTTCTTAACCTATAAGCAATAAAGTCTGAAAAATTAAACATTAAAAAATCATATTGAAGAATGTAGAAAACTCTAAAAATCACATCATTGAAAGAAAAACAATAGATTTCTGATACAACAATGGTAATCTGAAAATAAGTTGCTAAATGTTGAATTTGAAAAATTACAAACATTTATTCCTATTATGTGTTAAGCACCATATTAAATACTCATAAGTACACAAATAGATAGGTACAAATAAGATAACCAAAGAATAGAAAGGTAAGCAAATCACCCAAGTATATACAACTACAATATGGGGAGGAATCATGGTTCTACCCCAAACCATCTCAGTCCAGGGCCCAGCTCTTAACCATTACACTGCATTGCCTAACATGTAACCAGGAATGGTATTGGTGAGGGTTTATCAGTACAGTGTAACAGAATCACATTTACTAGAAGAGAAAGAAGTACATTTGAATTCTCAGACATCTATAGCCTAATTAAATGCTTTCGGGACTATTTTAAATGGCAAAATAATTATACTTCATAAGAAATATCAAGTATTATTATTGTATTTCAACTAACAAATTTTTATTCATAAATGTAACATTCATCCTGTTTTAATTTTACCCATACTGCTGTTTAAGCATTTCCCTCTCCTCTTACTTCATTCTCTCAAACAATATTATCTATAATATCTAATAGGTTTCCTGTCCACCTCACAGAGTTTTTTCTCCCTTGCTTGTTAGTACTGTTTTAGGAATCAAATATAAAAATGTAGTCGTTAAAGTCTTTTTAGATTTGTGCAACAGCAACAAGAAACAGAACTAAATTTGCATATGTTCTCCAAAGTGAAAGTTGCATTTGACATATAACACTTATTAAAGCCTATAATTAAAGATTCTCTAGATACCCTCCCCCAAGCTATGTTTATAGGGTCCATTCACAGAGTAGGTGCACAGAGCTTCTTGATTTTTTCTGATAATGTCCTACTCAGCGGTCCCCAACCTTTTTGACACCAGGGATCGGTTTTGTGGAAGACAGTTTTTCCACGGATCGGGAGCGGGCAGGTTGCGGGGCGGGGGTGAGTTGCCGTCCGGGTTCCACCTTAGATCACGAGGCATTGGATTCTCAGGGGGAGCAAGCAACCTGGATCCCTCAAGATGCAGAGTTTGCAGTGGGGTTCATGCTCCTATGAGGGTCTGATACCGCAGCTGATCTGAAGGGGGCGGGACTCGGGTGCTGATGCAAGCGATGGGGAGCAGCTGTGGGTGCAAGTGGGGCTTCACCCCCTCACTTCCACTTTGCTGGCCTCCTGCTGTGCGGTGCAGCCTGGGGGTTGAGGACCGCAGTCCTAGAGCAATCATCCTGTTTACGTTTTACTAAATGTAAAACATGTAGATTTCACAACATGTGGAGTTTTTAGTTATAATATTCACAAGCAGTTATAATTTAACAACAGTCAAATGGTTGGGGAAAGCATGTAATCCCAGCATGTTTCTTTGTCTCCTTTCCTCTACTTTCCCTCCACTCCTCTTAAAAAATATTTATAAGTTCCTCATACTTTCTGCCATGGACAATTTTCAACAAGTCTAGTCAAACTCACAGAAGCAGAGAATGGAATGGTATTTTCTAGGGACTAGAGGAAAGGGGAGTTGCTATTCAATAGCTGTAAAGTTTCAGTTAGGTAAGATCTGCTAAGATCTGTTGTCCAACATAGTTAGCAATACTGTATTGTTACTATAATTGACAATACTGTATTGTAAGCTCAAAAATGTGTTAAGAAGGTAGATCTCATGTTTAATGTTCTTACTACTATGAAAATAATAAGATAAAATGAAATAAAATAAGTACAAATTCCATCTAACTGATTGTTTTTACTTGCATTATCAGGAAATATCAAGAAGCCCTGTTGCCTCATCTGTAAATGAGCCCTGCAAGCAGAGCTTGGGGGGAAAGAAGTCTTGACTTATGGGTTTTAAGAAATGTTCTGTTAAACGCAACTTTTACTTGCACAATAAGAATAAGTGCCTTTCTCTCTTTGGTGACTGGCTTGTATTTCAAAAGCCCACAGAGGATGGAATTTTGTTTTCTCAACTAAGACAGTCAACAAGACTGTAATCATTGCTCCCTTTTATTTTCCCAAATATTTGAATTTGTTCACAAAAGCACATAAAATCCTGAACAAAACAAAATAAAATAACTCACTAACTTACCCAGGCTATAATTGGATATTTCAATATTTACATAAACTGAATGTGACTTTGGCAAGATAGAATTCTTTAAATCAAAATAATTTGACTTTAAAAAGAACATTCATAGATTTCAATATAGGAAAAAGTCTTCACTAAATATAAATTGACATATTTTATAACCTAGAGACAATATTGATTAAATCAATATCCATTCTGTAATGATCAATCTTAACTGTCACTAAGATAGATGGGTAAGTTTTGGATAGTTAAAAAACAAAACAACAAAAAGAAAGACTCTTTGAGCAACAAAAAGAAAGCCAAGAAAACTCATCCTTACTCTGACTAAAGTCAGTATGAAATAGCCATGAAGAGTGCTAAGACAAGAAAGTTAACCTTCTCAATAACATGAACAGCAAGGAGCTTGGAGATGAGACATTGTCTGGAAAAATAAAAGCTCTTCAGCTTCCTCCCCTACCAAAATGAAATCAGAGCTATTCTGCTAAGGCCCTAACAATGATGGTGATCGTAATCATAAACATCATCATCATCAATTTAGTGAGTGCCACACACTGTTGTTCTACCTTATTTTCATAGTGGAGACCACAAATCACCCCATTTTACAGACATGGAAACCAAGGCACAGTGAAGCTAACCAACTTCCTTAGAGACACAGATGCTTTAGTAGTTGCAAAGCCAGGATTAGAACCCATGCAGTCTGGCTACAGAGCCCACATTCATCACTTCTACGTTCTACTCACTGTCTCTCTCTAGCTGTGAGAGGTGGAATGCCAATGAGAATTTAAGACTAAGTTAGTTCGTTTAATATGATTCATAACTGGAAGCTGTGAGAGATAATATATAATGAATGACATCTCTTGAACATCCTTACAGTATGTGTGACACTTTCCCAAGGTTTTTTCTTATAATATGACCTCAGAATGCAGATGACAAAAGGGAATGTGAGGTTCTACTCCTGTGGACCCATGTGCATTTCAAAATAAATTGATTATAAAATCCTCTTAGTATCTGAGTAGTTACATAAGGCTGATAACCACAAGTCAATGCTAAAGGAACATCTACCCAAAAGGATGATTTGGTTTTGAATAGCTGATTTAAAGTCCTTCCTTTGGACGGCAATTAGATAGTAGGCTAGTTGTGAGGACAACCCCTAGTTTGTTACAATGAAGTCATGCCATCAGGATGTTTACCTCTTTATTCTCTATAGCTAGGTAAGGAGAGAGGGCAGACCAAGTGCACACAAAAGTAGTATCACACCATTAAGACACAAGTTAAGAAGACGGGTCAGAACACATCCTATTCTATCCCTCAAGAAATTAGTATTCATTCATACAAAAGGAAGTTCCACCGACAATCATACTATCAGGTACCAAAGAAATAAATAACTATAAAATCGATTTCTACCAATATATTTTCATTGAAATCAAAACCCAACTTTCTCATTTCTATTTTAATTCCTGGCCCTACCAATGCAATATAAACTGAGCGGTTATTGAGGTTGCCTCCTTACTTGGAGACCTGGTTCTACCTGGTTTAGCCACATAATATTTAAAGAGATCACATTATATGGAAAAGGCCAGATCTTCTGAAATTAACTCACCAAAATGATGTGAAGGAAGACCTCGTACTGTCGCACATTATATAGCGCTTCTTTTAACATATACTGCTTAAGTTCACTACTCATGAGTGGGTTCCTTGCTGCTTTCTCAAGGATGGCTGTGTAGCAGTAGGCCAGGTTCTGGGCGGTCTCAAGTTGGGAATCAATATGCTGAGTGGTGGCTGGGACTGCTTCATGTAGAATAGCTGGCACTGTTTTTAATGGTATAAGAAGGCAGACATAAAAGAGTTTAAAAAAAGAATTAAGGAGAAAAAGCCTAGAAGGTAGTCACATTTTAAGCCTTAAGTTAGGTTTTTTCCCCCAATCTAACTAATAATAATGAGGCATGTGTTCATGGGTCCCACACCATGAAGAAAAGAATCCAAACAAAATCTTCCAAACAAAAGACATTGTTAGAATGATAACCGAAAGTTAGAACAGATTAGCTTTTGCCAATAAAACATAGAATAGTTTAAAAAATAAATAGACTTTGGTATTACATGTTGTTGATCATGTGCCTCTATAAAAGCCACTATCCCTCCTCCCTCCTTCTGTGTATCTTCTTTTCTATTTGAAAAAAAAAAAAAAGCATTGCTTCTTAAGCAACTCATCTGGATGCTGAAAAATAACAGAACAGTCTAGCAAGGGAAGGAAATTTATGAAAATGGGAATTGACTTTTTAGAACAGCTTTTAAAATAAAACAAATTACCCTATTGTCCTAGATTATTGATCTGGTGACAGACATTAACACTTTATCAGTGGGCCTATAGTAGTATCAAATTCATAAGGAAATCACTTCTATTGGCAGATCCTTATTATTTCATAAGTATTTCAAACTTATGGGTAAAGAATGCATTAATTATATAACAACATAGTAGATGCTCCTGAATTTAGAGATTTGTGCCAACAATTGTTTTCATTTCAGGGTCATTTTTATTTTTTAAATCACTGAATTTTATTCCATTTGGTAATTTGATTTGGAGTAAAAAATGCAAAGCCCCACTCAATTGGGGAGACCACCCTCTAGGCAAGCCCCCTCATTCCATTTACTGAGTCAGTTTCTCATTCTAGCTTCATGGTACATACAATTTAAAATCTTGTCCCGGCTGGGCGCAGTGGCTCACGCCTGTAATCCTAGCACTCTGGGAGGCTGAGGCAGTAGGATCACTCAAGGTCAGGAGTTTGAGACCAGCCTGAGCAAGAGTGAGACCCTGTCTCTACTAAAAATAGAAAGAAATTAGCTGGACAACTAAAAATATATAGAAAAAATTAGCCAGGCATGGTGGTGCATGCCTGTAGTCCCAGCTACTCGGGAGGCTGAGGCAGGAGGATTGCTTGAGCCCAGGAGTTTGAGGTTGCTGTGAGCTAGGCTGACGCCACAGCACTCTAGCCCAGGCAACAGAGCAAGACTCTGTCTCAAAAAATAAATAAATAAATAAATAAATAAAATCTTGTCCCTGCAAAAGTAAAATTTACTACACATTATGAATAGCAGTTATTCCTCAGGAAGAATCAAAATTGTAAATCTTAAATCTCAGAATGCCAGTGGTGTGTTATTATTTTCTTCACTGTGCAAGCTGAATTTCAACGTACATAACCTTCAGAATTAACCTAATGGTATACCCACAATCATCAATGCCTTCTCCTCCTTTTCCACAGTCTCTGTTAAATAAACGAATTCCAGTAACAATCATGGCAAGTTCTTTCAGCTGGCGTTCTTTGTCCTTTTTAGAAAGAGTTAGAAATGTCCCAAGCTCAGCCTGAGGAAAAACACTGTGTAGGGCAGCTAAAATAAACCACAAAAAGGGAAACAAAATGATATCTTAAGATATCAGAACTTAAAGTACAAGTCTCTTTCTTTCTTTTAGCAGAAAGTTAAAGAACTTGTCTTTCTAGGGTAATTTATATGATTCTTTAAATTTCTGATACTGGATTACAAAATACATAGCAAAATTTATCATACATTAAAGCTGAGCTACTGAAAATAATGTCATTGCCTCACGTCCATTTTTAATAATTAAGTCTCCATCAGTAATTTTTTTGTCAGTGGGCATTAAAATAAGCTTTCTACTTAGGGCTCTGAGTAGAAAAATAGACGCTTTAAAATAATTATGGAAGAAAGCTATAAGAAGGCTAGACATCTTGCTTATTCCTCATTTTAAGGTATGAAAATGAGGATAAAAATGTCCTTTTCCATCATCCATTTTAGGTGACAGACTCAATTCCTTTTATCAACATGAAATATCCCTTTCCAGCTGTCCCATTTACCCAAGCAGCCTGGAGCCCTCAGTCATACTACCAATGTTTCTCTAATGAGGTGTAATGGGTCCTTAGATATGTGTAGCTCTAAGAAAATTAGCAATATTTCACCTTCTAGAGGTATTACTTGCATTTTAGAATTGACGCACAGTGTAAAAGGAGTCTGGGTAAGTTTTAACCTCTTGCGCTTTTTTTTTTTTTTTAGATAAGAGGGGAACTTCAATCTTTAACACTTCTAATTTGACATATTTAATAAAATACATGATCATACATGATCATTGTACCATACATGATCATATATTTTTACCTATGGAATGGAAATTGTTTATGTTTTTTACCTGTTGCTTCTCTGACAATCTTGATGTCTGTCGGGGATCCCAGACCAGAGCGGAGTAACACATAGCTGACGATCTTCCGGTAGAGGCTTTCCAATTCTTCCTTAGTACATGCTCTGTTATCTGTAATTTCTCTGCTGACAGAGCCTATTCTAGAATCTAGGACCCGGTGATGTTCCTCAAGAAATTCGTCTAAAATTGGCAAATAACAATGTTCCATATATTTGATATTTAGAAATCTTCTCACATAAGGACCAGAGAAAAACTGGCGTGGGTGCGGCAATTCTACTGCATGAAAACAAGTACTTTCAGAAGATAAAATAATGAAATAAAAAACAGCGGCCAGCAAGTAACCTCAAGCCAAAAATCCAGTGGGAAAGATTTATTACAGTGATTTAAATGGACTACTACATCAAAATACCTAAGACTTTAAACAGCCAACCCAAACAGCAAATATCAGAACGGGCTAAAACCTCCCAGTTAAGCAGAAAGTAGAAAAGACTATTTCTACAACATATATATATATAATATTATATGTGAACATATACATGTAATATATATTTATACTGTATATATATTTATACTGTATGTAAGCACTTGTAGTATACTATATGTAAGCATATATAGTACTACAAATATATATGTGGTGTATATATTCCTCTTCAATTATTTGTATTTCTATTTTGGTTCTAGATAAATTTCCTCTGAATAGCATTACTGATAATATGATGTTGCCTCAAGAAATTTATCCCTCCTCCCTCTTCCTGTGACATGCTAAGGTATAGGCTTAATTGTGGCAGGAGACTATCTTTACTAGCAGTATAACTCTTGCAACTGATTCAATAAGATACTCTATAATACTATTACAACTATACAATAATTAATATCAACCATGCACAGTTCATACCTATAATCTTACCACAAAAGCAACTGAGAACATTTTGCAAATTAAAAAAAAGAAATTAAATATCATCAATTCCATGACTATTTCATTACTTTAAAATTTTATTATTAACCAAAAAATCTATATCATTTTACATATATAGCATAACTGTAGCACTAATATACAGAAAAAAAAGACAAAGAATATCATCAAATTGTTAATGATGACCGCATTATAGCAGGAGCAGTCTATAGAGGAATTTCTTTTTCTTTTTCTCTTGTTTCCAACTTGTCTTTAATATATGCATTAAATTGTTTATATAATGAAATATATTCTAAACTTAAATTTCCCATAATTCATTTCATTTTGGGGTAGTTACATAATTTAGGTAAGTATTATGAGATAATACAAACCAAGAACAAGAAAAATCTACAAATTAAAAACTTTCGACTTCAATAGGCTAGTTGTTTTAATTTCTAATTATTATGTTTTAGTGCCATAAAGGTTAAAAACACAATAGATTTAGAAATGATAATTATTATGAGCATAATAATTTGAATTGACTTTTAATATTCACGAAGCTATTGGTGTTCTTCTCATTTAGCCTTTCCAACATTATTACATTCTTTAAAGATAGAAAACAAAAGATTTTGTTTTCTTTCAAAATCTTTCATTGACAAAAAAATTGTTAAATTCACCAAACAATTAAGTTGTCAACCAAATGATGCCCTTCTTATCTGAAATACAATAAAAAATCTTTCTGGAAAAGTATTAAAATAGGTAGATGTATGTTACCTCGACGTGTATAATTCAAATCAAAGTAGACTTGCATCTTAATGGTGTCCAGGGATGGATTTTTACTATCCAATAGCCGAGTCACACAAAGCTAGAAAAGAATGGCCCGTGAATGCTTCTAGTTACATTTTCTAAAACACTCAAGAATTCTCTAAAGTTATTCTCAAAAATAAAGGGAAACATGAAAGAAATGGTTCCTGATATTTATCCACCAATAACCCCTTTTATTATTATTTTTTCTTTTTGAGAACTTCAGGCTTTATACTTTATCTGATCAACAACATTTATTAAGTAATAAGTTGGGCTGGGTGCAATGGCTCATGCCTGTAAACCCAGCACTTTGAGAGGCCGAGGCAGAAGGATTGCTTGAGACCAGGAGTTCAAGACCAGCCTGGGCAACATAACAAGACCCCATCTTTACTAAAAATAAGAAAAATTAGCTAGGTGCGGTGGTGTGCTTCTGTAGTCCCAGTAACTTGGGAGGCTGAGGCAGGAGGATCCCTTGAACCCAGGAGTTCAAGGTTATAGTGTGCTATGATCCCACCACTGCATCCCAGCCTGGGCAACAGAGCCAGATCCTATCTCAAAAAAAAAAAAAAAAAGTAGTAAGTTATTACCCTATTTCCCTTTCGTTAACCATATTACCATACCCAGGTAGCTAATAGTCTAGTAGGTGAAGGCAAGAAATCTGATGTTTTTGTTAGTCTGTGCAGTCTAAATGTAAATATATGTTGCACAAAGCCTATATTCCAGTCTAGAACTCTCGAGTTCCTCATTACTATTTATTTGAGCCATGACAACATCACTACTTTGCTGATGCTGGAGGTCACGTGATTTTATAAAAAGCTGCTGCAGCTAGCTTTCTCTTCTCATAAAATTTCTCTGGCTCTGCTGCCTGTTTCAAAATTTCTTCTTCTGGTCTGTTTTCTCCCTTCCCTCCCCCCAATGGGTGGCTCATTCCTCTCTCTGACTTGCCTCTTTAGATTAAATGATAAACCTGAATTTTTCTTTCCTTCTCTCTTCCGACCACCCCACTTCCTTCAGTTCTCACCCCTTAGGCTTTATATACTGCACCTGGCAGGCACATGGCAGCATTGCCCTCAACCCATCTCCCTGTGCGCCAGGCCTGCTTTCCTCCGAGGAGGCAGGGGAGAATGCAATACTGAGGATTGGACACTCTGTTTTTGTGGAAGCCTGTGCACCTGGATCCCTCCAGGTAGACAAGTACTGTTCTAAGAGCAGATCTTAAAAAAAAAAAATTAGCTCATCCACATGATTTTTAGTTGAGGAAAAAATGAAACAATTTTTGGCACTTGAATTATGTTAATACATGGATAGTTCATATACCTGTCATATTAAAAGTATATTGAGCTTGATTCTTTCCAACTTAGTTGAGTGGGGGTGGGGGAGAAAAACTCTTCTTGAGCCACAGAAAAGAGAAAATCTTATTTTCTGCCCTTTCTTGATTCTCTTCCATGGCTTTCCAATAACATTTCTAACTGTCACAGTCATTTCCCCTATTGCTAAGAACAGGCTTTATATCACATTCTAAATCAGCCCAGAAAGACCCAGCTCTAGGGTATCCTGTGGAATCAGGAAATGTCCACTACAGAAACATCCTGACAACATATTCCCCGGTCCAGGCTGGGAGTGATAAAACTTCTCCCTGCCACTTTCATGAGTCCACAAAATGTCAATATACAAGTCTGCCATGCTTCAAGTCCTTTATGTGAAAGAGAGAATTAAATTCATTAAGCCCAGGATAATAAGTAATAATGCTGAATTTTTAGGAAATATAGCCATTTACAGAGGCTCACACCTACAATCTCAGCACTTTGGAAGGATCGCTTAAGGCCAGAAGTTTGAGATCAGCTACAAAATAAAAATTGTTTTTTTTAAATTAGCCAGGCGTGGTGGCTCATGCCTATGGTCCCAGCTACTCAAGAGGTTGAGGAAGGAGGATTGCTTGAGCCCAAGAGTTGGAGGTTACAGTGAGCTATGATCATGCCATTGCACTCTAGCCTATGTAAAAGAGTGAGACCCTGTCTCTTAAAAAAAAAATACAGATTAAGCAACTAAATTCAGTGAGTCAAATTTAAAACACATGACCCGCATTAAAGATGTCTAAAGTTCTTGCCTTTTTTAGTTCTTAAAACTGGTTTTCAGGAACATCTACTTGATTTATATCTACAAATCATTTTGCTTTGGTTGTACATTTTCCTTTAGAATTGAAAAACATAAATTATATTGAATCAATTATGTGAATCTTAATTTAGTACATTTAGTACTATTTAACTTTATAGTATATGACAAACCAGTTAATGTTCTCAATGTAAGACATTAATAATAAGCTATCACTAAAATACTATGGCAGATGCTACAACCTGCTCAGTATCCATGCCCATCTTTCCTTCCTAACAGAGCCCCAATTTGGATTGGAGCAAAGATTTGTTTATCTAGGAAAGAAAAAAAAATCAGTGTCCCTGGGTCACTTACAATATCATTCTGATCAATAAATGTAAGCAGATGGGAGGGATTCTGGGAAAACTAATATTTCCAGGATAGAAAGTGATAGACCCAACTGGCACACTTATTTTGCCCTTTGCCTTTTCCCCTTCTTTCTGCCTAGAGGTCAATTTTGTGATCATGAGATGAAAGTCATATGCCAAGGATGGTGGCCCAAGAAGGCAGGAAGAACAGCCTATGTATCTCCATATTTTGTTGTATAAGAAAAATAAATATCTCATTTGTTTGTACCACTATTTCGTGGGCTTTTATTTCTTGCTCTTGAAGGCAATAATGACTAATACAAACACTGTATTTAGAATTGAGAATAAATAATTGCAAATTTGAGGATTGTTGTATCATCACCTTAACAAGTTTCTGCACATCACTTTTTACGAGGGTTCTATCCATGTTAAAGCCATTACTTGGATCCAGGACGACAGCTTTCACCTAAGAGTAGGAAAAGAGTCCATTAAGTAATTTTATTTGATATTATTATAAAATTAGTTTGGTATGTTTCCATTTTTTAAATAACTACCCCTGATTACTCAGGGGTTGACTTTTCAGCTATTTTTCTTATTACCCAAATCATCAGCACCTTCATTAGAGTTGAAGAAAGAAAGCAATAAACATCAAACCTGAATATGGTGCTAGAAAAGTTATGGAGAAATAGGTTGAAAGCTATGGCTAGATTTTAGATTGGGAAACTATGGTATATTTTACTGTATTTTTATGGTGTATTGTTAACCAAAAGCAATAACAGAGAAACCACAGCAAAGAGTAATTTTTACAACAGCGAACAAAAATACGTATTAAAAATATTCCTACACAAGAGAACACTATTGATATTTCTAAAACTCATCAAGATCTTCTACATCAGTGTCTATAAATCTAGAACTGACATGCTCTATAAACTTTTAAAAACTATTTTTCACAAACTTGTCTGATGATCTCAGTGTTTTCAACTGAAAAGCATCTAGGAAAGCATTATAGCACCTTAAGGGGAAAACAGGCACCACAAAAATTTTTTAATAAAGCAGTAATTCATAAAAATATTCATTCTTACCATAAAAGCAATCAGCGTTTCAGAAATAATCTCTCCATGGGCTGCACATTCTTGTACTATTTCTCGAATGATATTCTTTATAACACTTTCTGCCTGAGTGGGAGGCATTCTGGCCAAATAAAACAATGATCGGTTTTTTAAAAATTGCATTTATACATTATTTTTCCTCTTTAGATTTATCCATTATAATATCTGTATTGAGTCACATCTATTAACTTATTAATATTTAATTATTACTATCTGGGACCCTTCTGGTTTTCATTACTTTTTTATTTTTAAAAATGAAGGACTTTATTGATAACAGAGCGATTGGGACTTCCAATGACTGAAACATTTCCCACTTAAATGATGGTGACCACCAAAAGTATATTTATATCATGATATTTTTAAATTAAAAAAAAGGCTAATCAGTATTGGAGGGGAGGTAGAATAAATGAGAAACCCAACCCCCTGTGTGTGTATGCAACAGAGAACAGCTTTAAAGAGGAAACGCTTATTCCTCCACATTCCCTGAATGACCTTTCATAACTGTAAGAGAATCCTGAAGAACAATTCATGCTCAGTTCGTCTGAACTCTCTTTTCTGCACATCCAAGTTGGAGTTAACTCTTGATAAAAACATAAATGCAAAAAATCAAAACATATTATGAGAGTTATGCATCGTGGAGAAAAACGAACTTCTGGTTATTAATTCCATTTACTATAAACCAGGAAAAAGTGGTAGATTTTAATGGAGTCTCCTTATTTTTCTGAGTATCAATAACTAAGCACAGGGGAACCTGGCATGTAGAGTATAACAAAGGTAACACCAGATAGATGAAGTTAATTCTCCGTATTATCAGCGTTCAGGTAAGGTAGCGTTTGGCATTTTGTCCACTAAAATCAGATTGCTTGGATTCATCGGGACCCCACCACTGTCTAGCTGTGCGACCTTGGCACTTGCTTCACCTCTTTAACAAGGCAGCTTCCTCATCCGAAAAATAATGGTTACTATCACTACCTCTTCCCAGAGTTGTGGTGGGGGCTAAATGAGTTCTATATATTTCGAAGTTAGAATAGTGCGTAGCGTAAAGCAAGCGCTTAAACCCAGCACTCAAGCAATGCTCCTGGGGCCTGTGTGCGCGTGCGCGCGCGCTGTAGGGCCAAAAGCTTGACGTTGCTAAGGACGCTCCTCGGTGCCCTTTCCCAGACCCCACTCGCCAACCGCTAAATCTGGGGGTGCGAGCGTGGCCCAGCACAGGCGGGAAGGCTCAGGCGCCGAAGCAGTGCGCGTTAGAGGGCTGACCTGCGAACCCGGGCGCCTCTGGCCGGAACTGCCCGCTGTTTCCGCTCAGCGGCGGCGTAGCAGGAGGGGTAGTGACTGAGAGTTAAGTCTCAGCTAGGCTGGACAGGATCCTCCAGCGGCCCAGCCTCGGCTCGCCGCCTGGCGAGGCACAATTCTGGTTCAAGGGCGCGGAGCCACAGTGGACTGACCTTGGCTGGAATCCAGAGCAAGAACCGTGTCTATCCCTCTCTGTCCTGAGGCCCTCACTGCGGCCTTTAGGGCGTCCTCTGCAACTGCCGCGTAACCATGGAGATTGAACGCTCAGGACCTAGGGGCGGGGCCGCGGCGGGGGAGGCGGGGCCGCGCACTAGCTTGAGAGTCTTTCTCCAAAAGACAGACGGGAAGACCTTTAAAAACAGAAAAAAATAGAAGGACCAGAATCCCAGGCAGAGAAAGGCACGTTCACGACACCTCAGTGGTTAAGATTGCTAAAAAACAAGATTTCTTAAACAAGGATGTTAATTTGCTAACGTGGAAACATATAGGGCGGTTTTAAGAAGAGGTAGGGGAAAGGGAGGAGCCAGTTCCAGAGGATGGGAAAACTGAGGGGTGCAAATGGAGTTCTTGTAAAAATGTCTAGTTTTTTTTAAAAAAAGTAAAAAGGATTGCAGTTTTATTTCATGTCTTGTTCAAATGAAGTCTGTAACAAGATGCTCCAAGATACCGAAAGAGAAAACTCATTCAAGAAGCACATGATAAGGACCCATTCGTGTCTGGAGTTGGGATAATGAGGTTTTGTCCCTTAGTAATATTGCTGAGGCCCACCTTCAGACTTGAAAGTGTGAAACAGGATTAAACAGACCTCACAAGCACAGCATTAAACAACAAAATATTTTTTCTAAAGAGTGATTTTTCTCAAATTGCAAACAAATGTGCAGAATATGATTTGCTTAGGGCATTCCCAGAATACTAGGAAACGAATCAACATAAAAATTCAAGAATAAACAAATCATAATATAAAAGGATTTTATTTATTTTTCCCTTCTACAAAATTATAAGAACACACAATGAAAAAAAATGAATCAGTGAATTCTATTGTAAACATATCCAAACCTCTAAAACAGTGGTGGCAATAATGGTCTTTCTTTCTTAGAATTATAAACCAGGTACAATTTCATACACATACACGTGGTCCTAATGAGGAAAACAGGATCCAAAGCATAAAAACCTTTGCTATTACAGTATCCCTGGCAGTGATTCTCAACTTCAGAGAGTGAGGGACAACATATCAGCAGTATATTGGCTGTTCCCCAAAACGAACTCTGATATGCCCTACTGGTCTATTTTGTATATGTGAAAAATGTTACTCTGTAGCTTTTCTTAAAGGTGAATTTCTCCCTGTCTTTTGCCCACCCATCTCCCCAATCCTTAATGAATGACCAAGTCTTCATTAATGTCTCTTGAACCAATTCACTTTTTCCATTCCAACTTCTCCTGTATTCATTAAAGCAACTATCTTTTCTTGCCTAGATTACTGCTACAGCAAGCTAGTTGCGCTCCTTGCCTCCAGTCTCATATTCCTCCAATTCTTTCCTATGCCAAAATGATCTTTCAAAAATATAAATCTGATCATGTCATTTCTTTGCTGAATATCTTATGAAGGCTTCTCAATAGCTTTGGGGGTAAAATTCCTTGGCATGCAAGGCCCTTCATGATCATCAGATCTCAGCTCACCCATTCAACCTCAGCTCTCACAACTGCCTTCTTTTCCCCTCAGACCACACTCTTTCCATTCTCTGACCATTTAGAATTAACTTCCAGTGTTCTCTGGCCTCCAGATCTTTGCATAGAGGTTATTTCCTCTATTTGAATGTTCCTCTCCCTCTTCACCTGGTTAATTCTCCTGTGTCTTCAGAAGCCATATCCCCTATGAAACTCTCTTTGACCTGCAATACTGGGGTTAGGATCTTAAACTTATACCTCTATACAGTTCCAAACATTTTCACTGCCTCCAAAGGAAAACTCCATACTCATTAAGCAGTAACCCTCCATTCTCCTGTTCCCTCACAACTTTCACCTGACAAAGCTCTCACTATTCTATGGAGTCTATTTTCTTATCTGTGTGCCCCACTGGACCATAACTCCTTGAAGGCATGGGACATACCTTACTGAGTTTCCAGTACTTAAGAACAGAGCCTGGGATGTAATAGTCATAGCAGACTATTTGGATTAGGGAGGAAAGTATAGCAGTGAATGGGTCAAAAAAAAGGAGGGGGGGAGAGAAATTTTTAGATGTCTTTAAATTAATGTCTTTACTGAAGGGTTAGGATGATTTCAGAAGGAAATTACAATTTTGGAGGAAAGGGGGAGATTCCTCAAAGAACTAAAAGTACACCTACTATTCGATCCAGAATCTCACTATTGGGTATTTACCCAAAGGAAAAAAAGACTTTTCAACAAAAAGACACCTGTACTCAAATGTTTATTGCAGCACAATTTACAATTGCAAAGATGTGGAATCAACCCAAGTGCCCATCAATTCATGAGTGGATTAATAAAATGTGGTATATGTATACCATGGAGACTACTCAGCCATAAAAAAGATGAACTAATACCTTTTGCAACAATGTGGATGGAACTGGAGACCATTCTCCTAAGTGAAGTGCCTCAAGGATGGAAAAACAAACACCACATGTACGCACTATTAAATTGGAACTAACTGATTAGCATAGAAGGAAGTAAAAGTCAGTGGAAATCAACCAGGGGGAAGGGGGGAGGAGGAAAGGAGCAAAAACCTACCTAACAGGTACTATGAACATTATTTGAGTGACGGACACACCTTTAGCCAGGACTCAAGCATTACAAAAGTGATCAGTGTAATCTAAAACATTTGTACTCCCTTAATATTTTGAAATTTAAAATAAATAAATAAATTTAAATTAGTTAAAATTAAATGAAATTCAAAATTCAATTCTTTAGTTGCACTAGCCAAATGTGGCTAGTGGCCACTCTATTGGACAGCAAAGATATAAAATATCTACATCATTGTACAAAGTTCTCTTGGATACTTCCCTCACCCCTGCTGCACCTGAACTCAAACTTCCAAATGACTCACTCTCACGTTTAAATGTTCTGTGCTTTCAGAACTCCCTTTAATTGGATTATTTACTTTGCCATCTGTGCTCTTCAAAACACAGCTCAAACGTCATCCTGTTCAGTGAAGACTTTCCCAACCAAACCTCCCACCCTCTTACAATTGGTCACTTTCTCATTCGGGTGCCCACTGCACTCTCAGCAGATTTCTACCATAGTGCCCCTCACATCCATATCACCGGATGGTGCTCATGTCTGTTTCCCTTTACTACAGTGTGGGCTTGGGGTGGGGGCAGGGACCCAGTCTTATTCATCTTTCTATCCCAGCTCCTATACTAATGCCTGACATATAGTACATGCTAATAACTGTTTTTGTGCATGAATAAATATTACCAATAAATATTCTAAGGTCAAGATTCTATCAGACTTCAGAAACAGAGAATACCCAATTTAAATTCCTCACCGAGAGGTAAAAACTTTGAAAAAGAAATATGTTTTTAGACAAATCATCAAAATATTGTATATCCTCTCTTAAATCACAGTCTCATGCTAAAGTTGTGCTCTATTTAAAACTAATCCACGAGAGGCACGACAGTTTGAGTGGATAATTGAGACAGTTTGACAGGTATAGTGAGGTGAGACGGCACACAGAAGCAATTCTGGCTTCAGCAATTATTAGATACACACCTACAATATTAAAAGCATAAAGATTTGGCTAGTCATTCAAATAGTAAATGTCTAGGTTTAAAAAT